TATAATATGCCTTTTGTTTTTTGAAGTTATACTTCTTTTGAAAATAAATTGTTTACGATGTACGCGCCGCACAGCGACATAAAATTAACGGGATGAAGTTAGCCGATAATTACGATGCGCGCGCACAATGATATGAAATTAACAGCGTGAAGTTAATCGCGTTATAATCGGTTTGAGGCATATATGTTTTATATACACCAAAGAAGTATAATTTCTTACGTGCATTAACAAATTAAATTGTTCTTTTTTGTTTATTTATCTCTATTCTTCTTTACATATATTTATTTTTCATTTTAGGGCCACCAATTTGCGGTAGTCCGGATAAATTAGAAAATACTACGATAATTGGTACAAAAAGAGTAATAGGATCAACGATAGAATATGCGTGTCCAGAAGGTCACATGCTCATTGGTTCGAAAACACGTACTTGCGAATCTAGTGGATTTTGGAGCACGACACCTCCTACTTGCAAATGTAAATGTCTTTCTTTCTTTCTTTCGAAAAGAAAAGAAAGAAAATAAAATAAAATAAATAAAAGAATCATGACATCTTATTGAATTTAAAGTCACGTAAGAGAGAGTGAGTTTCATTCGTAATATTTTTGTTCAGTCGTCGACTGTGGCCCCTTACCCGAGCTTGACAACGGCGTGATCACGTTATTAGAAAGCAGAACAACGCATGGTGCACTTGCTGATTATGCTTGCAACGAGAATTACACGCTTATGGGTGACACCAGACGAAGATGCGGCGACGGTGGTATTTGGAGCGGACATAAACCACAATGTTTGTGTGAGTTGAATTTTCTATTATTTTATTTAAATGTATTTTATTAAATCAGCAACGACAACAACAACGATGAATTGTTTAAACAAAATTAAAATTCTAGTCGATTGGTGCCCAGAACCACCAGAAATTAACGGTGGATTGGTCACAATGACCGGAAGAAGAGCTGGCTCAACTGCAAGTTATTCCTGTCAAAATGGATTTATTTTATTCGGTGACAACGTAAGTTATATGATTGTATATTTGAAATCACGTATACTATTGTAATTTAATATTCGAAGGTTTTAACTTGTGATATTGGTGGTGAATGGTCTGGCAAAGCTCCTCAATGTCGTTTCGTTGATTGTGGAACACCTGCGCAAATTGAATTCGGTAGTGTAACTCTTGTCAATGGTACTACAACTGTAGGAAGTTTAGCTGTTTATACCTGTCAGGATGATTATTGGTTGGTCGGTGATGAAAAACAGGAATGCACTAAGGAAGGAAAATGGAGTCACGATACTCCATCTTGCGAATGTAAGATTTTTACTTATTGTTTTGTCTTTCTTTCTTTTTTCAATAAATAAACTATCAGAAAAAATCAATAAACAATTGCTGATATAATAACGACACAGTTAATAATAATATTGTAATATTTTCATTTATTATTGTAAAATTGTGTATCGTAAAATCAATTTTTCTTATTTTTATATATTCATTATTAAAATCACTATTATTATTATTATTTGTAGAAATGATATTACAAATTATATATGAAATAAATGTTTTCAGTAATCACGTGCGAGGAACCGGAAGTACCAACTGGAAGTTACGTCATCGGTTACGATTTGAATGTTCATAGCGTGATAGAATATCATTGCGAACCAGGAAATTTACTTCACGGGGAAGCAACTCATACTTGTGGAAAAGATGGCGAATGGACCGGGGATGTACCTACTTGCGAATGTAAATGAATTTAATTATGAGAACGAACAAAAAAACAAGCACAATTCAAATAAGAATAAATAAATGAAATGTATCATTAAATAATCATTGCTAATGTATCTTTCGTTTATTCGACAGACATTGACTGTGCCAAAGTTTTACCTGTACTTAACGGTACAGTGGAATACGTGAACGGTACTACTCACCTTGGAAGTGAAATAACTTATGGTTGTACTAAGAATTATCGATTAAATGGGGTTTCTAGAAGATATTGTTTGGATAACGGCCAATGGAGTGATGCTACACCAAAATGCGAAGGTAAATCAATTAGAAAAAATTATTTATTAAAATATTCTAACTTACACTATTAATTAATTGTAAGTGTCTGTGTGTCTGTGTGTGTGTGTGTATGAATGAAGATCAGACACAATCGATAATTGAAAGAATAATATAAAAGTTTTTACTTAGTTGTATTGTATATATGTGTGTATACATGGAAATAAGATAATTGCAGTTAAAGAACTAGTTATAGAAGTTTCTTGTATAATAATTCATTGACGAATAAATGTGATCATATGATTATTATTTCATAGAAATCAGATGTCCCGAGCCAGTTTTAGCAGAACATAGTATTCTATCAGTTACTGGAAACGATCGTATATATGGTAGAACATTAATACGTACTGGTACAGCTGAAAATTCAAATACCGGAGCTACTTCTTACAAGATCGGTGCATTAGCTAAATACAGATGTGAGAGAGGTTACAAGGTCGTAGGAGAACCATTGTCGACCTGTGAAGATAATGGAAAATGGAGTGGTGAAGTTCCACAATGCGTTTGTAAGATATATATATAATACACAATATATTTGATATTCGATGTAACCGAACTTTTCGTTTTCCGAAACCATTTGATATGTGTAATATACATGACTATAGTTATATATAATATTATATCTAACAAAGAAGGAAGAGACTATGCTTTAAGAAATGGTATATTGAAGTTAAACGTAGTGTAAAGAGTTTTATCTTACATTTCTATTTTCTTTTCTTTTTTTCGTAGACGTAGACTGTGAAAAACCTGAACATATACAACACGGTCGATATACTTTGACATCAAATGCAACGTATTACGGTGCTGCTGCACTTTACGAATGCGATGGTAACTTTGAATTGGATGGCTTTGCTAGAAGATTATGTTTGGAGAATGCTACTTGGAGTGGTACCACACCTGTTTGTCGAGGTTAATATAAATATACGTCAAATATATAATACGAGATTATAAATAATTGTTTAATATTTTATATTCTTCTTATTAATTGATTTATTTTTATATAGAAATCAGATGTAAGGATCCAGAAAAAGGTGGTGTTTTATCGACACAAGTATCAACCCATAGCGTTGGTGGTGTTGCTCATTATAGTTGTCCAAAAGGTTTTTACATGGAAGGCAACGAGACAAGATTTTGTTTGCAAAATGGAACTTGGAGTGATACCACGCCTGCTTGCTTTTGTAATAATTAACACCATACGTTTCATTTATAATTAATCTTCAATAAAATTATTTTCAAAATCGAATATAACGTTTGTTTGTTTAGCTATCGATTGTAAACATCCAGGATCGATAGAAAATGGAAGAGTTATAGTTGTTAATGGATCAACTACTTATGGTGGTGCAGCTGAGTATCATTGTCTTCCGCAATTCGAAAGAATAGGACCTTTTCTAAGGAAATGTTTGGATACAGGATATTGGAGTGGGGATGAACCCAAATGTGAACGTACGTTCATTTTCCACTAATAATCATAAAATAAATCACTTTATATTCGTTTGATTATAAATTATATATATATATAAATTTATAGTAATTCCAAATGAAGTTGCTGAAGCTCAAGGAGTTGGTACAAGTGTTGGTATTGGAGCTGCAGTGATCATTTTCATCCTAATCATCCTAGGATTGGTATACTTAAGACTGTAAGTTTCATTGATTTCTCAAAACAATTATTTAATTAAAAACATTAAATAAATCAAAATAATATTGTATTACAGACGAAAGGCTACACCTGTTAAAAATACAGAAAATGTTCAAGCAGCTGAAAGAAAGGAGGATCAAAATGCAGCTGTTATGTCATACGCGACCTTGAACGATGGGATACCTAATACAATGTATGAAAATGTACCGGAAGAGGGTCTTTACGATAATCCGTATAGCATAAGCGGTAGTATGTATGGGTAAGTACAATTTTCAATATTATTTTTATTACAATTTATTTTAAATGTTATTAATAATGATAATAATATTATAGATATGGAAACACCCGAAGAGTGTATGGTAGAACGGGTCATTACGAAGCTGAACCAATATCGAATAGGAATGGCATAACTATCAATGGTGTTTCCGTACGATAGTTATGTTTAATATACGCTGTCTGTATATTGTTTTTATTTCTGAAGAAAAATCTTTCACGATGCTTTTCTTCTTCTTCTTCTTCTTTATTCTTTTTCTATGACTTTTTTTTTTCATTTTTATTGCGTATCATATATGCAATAAAATAATTTCAAGGCTACGCGACCTTATATGTACAGGATTTATTAATTGTTGGATACGTGAAAGATACCTAAACGGCCTCGTTTTCGCATTATTTATATTACTATGATAATATACGTGTAAATAAACAACACAATGATTTAGATTTAAGAAACGTTCGATGATTGGATCATACGGTTGATAAGAACGATATTATATTGTTCTTTTTTTATAGAAAAAGATCTTTTTTTTTTTAAAAAAATATAACAAAGATGGACGTCGAACGTTCGAATCGATTTGAACGTTTGGAGTAATATAAAAAAAAGAATACATAAATAAATGAAAAGAAGTAAAAATCGATAGTTCGACGCTTGTCGTGTTGCTTGAAACACATCGATTACGTACTTGTATGATTCTGTATATAGAATGTTCCGATTATATTATAATTCATTGTTTTCTTTCTAGAATTTAAGCGACACGTTGTAGTATAATATATATACTTATACATATGTCGATATTATGTTTTTTTTTTTATTTTTATTTTATTTCTTCGAAGATCAAATGCGAATAAAGAGCAACACGAGTTTGTTTTAAAACAGCCTCTAAGCTAATTTCTTATACCAAATCATCTAAAATTATGATTAGGCACAAAATGTTGTAATGTTCATAAAAAAATGAAATATATTAAATATAGATTTATATTAACACACCTATGTGACATAGGAGACGTAGAAACAATCCCAATTATTCTTTCTTGAACACTGAACATCATTTTTCACATTTTTTATTCACTTTTTTACAATAAATATTTCAAATAAATATGATAACACGTTTTGAAATAAATTTGAATGGAGTTTAGTTCCATCATCGTACTGTAGGTAGCGCTGATTGTCCCCAATAGCGCTATACTCGATTTATTTGTTTAATTCGTTATTTAAAAAAAAACAAGATTCTCGTGAATTTAATTTGGTATGAAAGTAAGAGTTTAAATTGGTATATATGTACATCTATCAGAACCGATCTTATCCAAATATGGTAATGAATTTTTCAGCGAGAACTTATTCCAAGTATGGTGAAATCGAAGAACTTTAAGACCAGGATCGTAACTAATGATTTCGTATCCCTTTTCATACATATTTCCTGTCAACAAATTTTCATTATAAAATCTTGTTTTATTCTCAAATCAAAATAATATTTTATGCATGGGTATGTTTATTTTGAAATGATTTACTTTTTTTAAGTTTATAGAAAATTGTTGTGTCAATTCAAAAATTTATTGATACCCTAAGTCATTATCACAAGATGATAATAAAATTCGAAATAATTGTTTAATGATTATTAAAAAAAATTAAAAAGCTTGTGTAAATAATGGATTGAAAATCTCAAGAAAATAATATGTTTTTAATTGGCCTAAATATTATCGCTACATTGTTTCATGATTACTCACATATAATGTAGCCATAAGATTTCGAATGATTCTCCAGATGGAGTTAGTAGTCCGGGTGTGGTGAATAAACTGCAGTGACGAGTGACGTGACTCATAGTGTTGCACGAAACACAGTCTCTTTGTGGAGTTTCTTTCTTCTTTAAATCAGATTTTTTTATCAGGTGAGTTTTAATTTCGGTTAAAATATTTTATATATTTTAATTAATTGACAATTCATACTAACAATATAAACATATGATTTATATTAAACATTAAAAAATGAACGATATAAATTTGTGTCTACGTTCGTACAGCCATTATTGTTTCGTGACATACGATGTTTTAACTTTCGTACAAATTATTGATCAGATTATAATTATTTCGTTAATAAATTATGAAAAACAAATCTTTGATCTGTCATTATATTGGAATTAATATTCTTATGCCCAATATTTCATTTATTATTCGATTATTTTTAAAAAATTTATATGAGATTTGTAAAGAATGACAACGACAGTACAGTGCAGTATATAGGAAAATAAGAACCAGATGTATAAATTAGATTGACGTATTAAGATAAGATTAAGAAAGTAATTTAATTACGAGTCAAATGGTTACATTTTACGAATATTTTGTTAAATAAATTAATGATTATTTCGAATAATTCGATACAAATTTATTCAAATGGTTTAACGAAGATTACTTTATTTCACAGTGTTATAATTTTGTAAAACCCGCGCGACGCCATTTTGGTTTTTTTTCACATTAAATTTAAATTTTACAAGTGTAAGTAATGGTTGGGTAAAAATAAATATTCGTTGTTCCTTTAGTCGCGCGATTAAAGTGAGTCAAGTTTTGAGATTGTGTTGGAAAAAATGGTGAGTTAATGTCCTCATAATCGTGCACTCGTGTTAGTCATATTATTTTTATCCTAATTTCGGCTACGTCCAAATATTTTGAATTAATTACCCGAAAATAAACGATGACGGTAATAGTATCATGGCAAAGTTACGTGATAGGTAGAAAAAAATTACATTAACAAAGAAGATATATCATATTACATAGTTTATACTTAATTATTAATAAATATATAATGTATATATATATATATATATCTATTAATTGAATTATATTTAATTATTTGTTTTTAGCCAGTCAACATGTCTGCCCGTAAAACAGCAGGTCGTCGTGCAACTACAAAGAAACGTGCACAGCGTGCAACATCCAATGTATTTGCAATGTTTGACCAAGCACAGATCGCAGAATTCAAAGAAGCATTTAACATGATCGATCAGAACCATGATGGCTTCATAGATAAGGAAGATCTTCACGATATGCTTGCATCTCTTGGTAAATAATAACATATGCACAAGAGCAAATATATAAATTAATGATTTATATTATAACAAATATTTTTATATGTTATAGGAAAAAATCCTACCGATGAATATCTAGAAGCTATGATGAACGAAGCGCTTGGCCCTATTAATTTCACAATGTTTTTAACTTTATTCGGAGAGAGGCTCCAAGGTACAGATCCTGAAGATGTTATTAAGAATGCATTTGGTTGTTTCGATGAAGAAAACACTGGTCACATAAATGAAGAACGTTTGCGTGAACTTTTGACGACAATGGGTGACAGGTAATTTTGTGATAATAATTCTTCACTTTTTAATGACGTTGAAAAATCTGCAATACTGTAATTGTATATTTTGTTTGTATGCTTACAGATTCACCGATGATGATGTAGATGAAATGTACCGCGAAGCACCCATCAAAGGATCAATGTTTGATTATTTAGAATTCACACGAATTTTAAAGCACGGAGCTAAAGATAAAGACGAACAGTGAGCATTTATACATTCTGGTATTTCTGTACATGCGGATCTGTCTCTTCTATCATAAAAAGTATTAAGTTCTTCCTTGTTTCTATATATTTTCAAAATATGTTTAATACATTATTTATAAAACATGACATTTGGATTTTACAAATCTTTAGTTAGTGTTACGTTTTCATCCATAACCATGCCATCTAGATTTTTATTCTGTTTAATTTATGCCATGTTGTTCTTAATATATACATATTATATTAGAAAAAGTATATATGACGTTAAAACTTTGGTTATGGTATAGAAAATAAAATGAGAAAAGGAGATAATATTGTGCATTAAAAAAAGGGGATCAGTAATATAAAAATTATTGAACTCTTTCACCACTTTTTATTGTGGTGTATATATTATAATATTAATAATAATAATAATAATAATAATAAAAAACACAACAACAAGGCGGTAGATAGGAAATAGATATTTAAGGATATATTTACAATCTTGTAACTGTTGTAGATTTGGCATTTATATTTTAATATAATAATCCACTCTGAATATGATTTAATGACGTTGGACTGCCCTCATTTTTAATTACAGAAAATCCAACGAAACTCTAATTACAATACACGCGAATAATTACGAATATATAACTAACAATTAATTCCAAAAAACGTATATATTCTTTCTCGAGTGACATTTCCTCGTTTCTAATTCCAAATTACGATTTTATTTATATAACAAATATCAATTTATCCTATGATAGAGAACAAATTAAAATAATATAAAATAGGTAATCTATTTTTATATAACAAAAAGAGTAATATATAACAAGAGATTAAAAGTTATGATAAAACTTCTACATACATATATATATATAAATTTTAATCTGAATTCTCCATTTCCTTTATCATAATTGTACAATATTTATTCCAAATGAAAAAAGTTATCCTACTAAAGAAATAAGAAATTAAAATTTCACAGAACAATATTAATATCACAAAGATCTATATTATCCGATAAATCGAGAAAAAGAAAAAAAAAACCCAAAATTAATAATTAATGCATACATATATACACAAGGAGATGAAGAAGAAAACGATGACAACAACGATTCGTCAAGTATTCGGTGGTGGTCTTAGTTCGTGAATTGTACTGCGCATGCGTCACCCCACTACCAAGAACGTGTACCGAACGGAGCTGCAGTATCACCTACGTCGTTGACGCGGTAGGATCGGTGTTCTGTTACTTTCTATCTCTTTCTCTTCCTCTCACTCATTCTCAATGTTTTCCCCTACTCTATCTCTATCACTATCTCTTTCTCTCTTTCTCTACCTACCGCGCAACCACCTACTACGTCGCACGCGTCGTTCATGTATATCTTTCTCGCTCTTATAGGCGCATCGTTCGTACCATCTCTCTCTGTTCGTCTCGAAAATAAATAGGACGGGAGAGAGAAGGACAGAAAAGAATATATAGAAAAAGAAATAAGAGAGAGAGAGAAAGAGAGTGAACGAGTGAGTCGTGTGTCCGGCAGTGGCCCGGACGAAGGTTGCTGCTGCTGTTCCTGTTGTTCCTGGTTTAACTGTCATTCCTGTTCCTGATTTTTTTTCTATTACTATTACTACTACTACTACTTCATCTTTTTTCACACTTTCTTCTTCCTATTTCTCTCTCACTCACTCATTCATTTTTTAATTTGGTGGTTTTTTTCTTCTTTCATTATCTTACGTCACTCTTCCTCCTCCTCCTCCTCCACCTCCTCCTCCACCTTCAATTCCTACCCCTTATCATTCCACCTTCCCTTAAACATCAACTCAGTTCATTTTGACGTTACCTGTAATATATTACTCCATCCTATTATTTCTTCTCGAAAGTTTGATAATACGAATCCCTTCCCCACCCACCCCCCTCCACCCACCCACCACCCCTATAAAAATGAATTTTTCTTCTCGCAGAGTGTGTGTTTTAATTAAACTCGGTGTTCGTTCAACTTTATTGTTACTTGGAATCAACAATCATCTCGCGAGTTTGTACTCTCCTCAATTTTCTGAATAAATTAATAAAGAAATCAAAAAAGAGAGAGAGAGAGAGAAAAGGGATTAAATTTTTGTGAAGATAATATTTAATCGAGTGTGTGCGGATATAATACGAAAACGATATAATACGATGATGCAAAATTTTCGTAAAAAGACTATCGTTAATTCTACGTTTTATTATTATTCGTTTGACAACGTTAAAACCAATCCGAATTACGTTAAATTATTTAATCGAAAATATAATTATCCATCGAGAGAAATTTTTTCTACGAAAGAATACGAACGAAGCTTGTAAAATAAGTGTC